AAAGAAATAACTAATTAACATCATCATATGACATTAACTTATAGCATCCCACTACCACTTTCTTATCAATGTTGAATTTTGTATATTTTTGTGCAAAAAGTGGATTAGAGATCCTATTCAGCTTAGTAAATATTTTCAGGAAATATCAGCTTCTAATTGGTCAATAAACACACAAATGGGCGTTGCAATCCACCCACGTACAAATATTTTTCCAGCGCGTGACCAAGTCAAGTTTTCCCGCCGTTTTCTGTGAGCCTGTCACGTGATTGCATTAATTATAAATAGCAGACACAAGCTTGCTGCTTTCTCTTTCTTCTCTACTCTTCCCTTCTGCGAAGATGTGACCTTAAGGATTCTCGTCTCGACCATGTGCGGTCAGACGTTAAAAGCAAATTCACGCATGCATGTACGTACGAACATTTCCAACCTACATTACAAACAAAGGAAACATTTCCAAATAAGTGACAAGAACTTTTCTCTTTGAAATATTCTTCTAAAGCTACAGTTTATTGGGTATTTCTGAGCTTTATAATTAATTCAACTTTTGTGAGTTCAGATAAAAATATTTCACAGTCTAAGGGACATAACATAACAGATCTTAAACTTCTAGGCATGTACATCAACACACAAGTAAATACAAATGTTATTGTTTTAAAACCATTTTTTTCCTTCTTGTATTTCATATTTTGTGATATTTTACGTTTAATATAAATTGTGTGGTCATGTTATTCACGCAGATATAAACAGACGTCTACAAATGGTCCATTCTTATCACCCATACCACTACGAGGCTGGCATCCCGCTCTCACCCCTTCACTGTCGAAACTCCTAAATGTAGCCGTCTCTTCTACTCTAATTGCTTCATGTCTCGCACCTCTCGCCTGTGGAACTCTCTTCCCTTCTCCTGTTTCCCTGAGAGTTATAATCTCCAGCTATTCAAGTGTAATGTCAATCGACATCTCCAGTTGCCTTAATCTATCTACTACCCTCATCCTTTCTTCTATCACTCCTATCTGATCTTCCTATTTTCTGTAACCCCTTGCGTCCTAGTGGCTTCCCGCCTTGCTTGGGGTGAAATGCTTAAAAAAAAAATAAATAAATAAAATATGGTGACCCCGAGTCCTCCACAAAGTGCAACTTTGTATGATTCACAACGGAATCAACATATATATTCGTCAACCTGAAATTCTGTCTACAAGATAAGTTTTTTTGGTACTACAAGGTTTTGGGTAAAGTAGATCTGGTAAGGCTGCCATTTAAACCAAGGAGGTAAAGCATTGTACTTCAAATCTCTATATCTGTGTGTTGGTCATATTACCTTAACTCATAGCAAGAAACGTTCATCAGCCGAAGTTTTCTCCTGAAATAGTTTGTCCTTTACTCAAAGTATCACCTCAGAAATGAATACAATTGAAGCAAACGGGAAAAAAAAACACATGCAGAATAACTGAACAAAAAACAAATAGCAAAAAAGACTCAAATAACAAAACAAAGGGAGAAAAATAAATAACAAAACTGAATTTGATACCATCTACTAGTGTGCAACTAATCTTATTCCAATTCAAGGTTGGATGATATTTGTGCCCATTACATGTGTTGTCGAGGATGTGCAGAAAGGTTTAAGTTATCGAAACAGAAAATGAAATCAGCGGGCCGCGTTCGAATCCAAGCTAGTCTGTTGCGTTCACTTTTACACAAATGCTCTTGTAAAAGGCATAATTATACTAATTCAAATCATGGGTTAAATAGCAGGGTAAACTGATCTTGGATGGCAACCAGTCTAAGAGAAAGAAAAAAGACTTAATTTCAAACCGTAGCGAATTCAGCAGGAAGTCACTCCACCATATTTCTCAATGGCAATTCATAGATAACAGGAGAAAGAAAGCGGATCTGTTGATTGAGATGCTTACCTGAATTATCAGGGCATAAAAATCATCTTGTCAAATGTGTACACACGTTGTGTGCGTTTCAGAAGACAACAAGGATTACTTTGTCCACATTGTACATATGAGAACTCTGAATCGGGATTATTTTTAATCAATTCACCGCAGGCAAAGCTACAAAACCAATAGGAGACCATGGTTAGATTCTCCTTTACATTGGTGTGAACATAATTGGAGAGGGTCTGGTGTAAAGAGAAATCCTGTGAAAAACCATAGAATGGCACCTATATTCAGTCAGTTAAGTGCCACACGTGATACACGCTTTTGATACATGACTGGTGAGACAGAATATTTTTCCCGCAGTAATTTGCCATTTCTTCCTGCGGTAGGCTGGTTGCCAACCAAGGCTAAAGAACCCAGTCTGTCCTATTCAGCCCATAGAGATGGATTCTCCTCTTCATCATATATTGGTATAAACGGCAATGTCAGAGTGCCTCCAACTATCTTTTGCCAACTGATCAGTATCTGCCCCAGGGCGCCTCGGGGTGGTGTAACGGTTAACAAGTTGTTTTTGCTAAAACTGTTACAAATAGTGAGTTCGATCTTCACTGGGTGTCGCATACTTTCGGCCATGTGCCACATCTAAGCCTCGCTTTGAAAATCAATATCAGTATCTGCCTCAGGCTATGGTTAGATTCTCGTTTTCATTGGTATGAACATAATTGGAGAGGTTCTGGTGTAGAGAGAACTCCTGGCAAAAAAAAACGCAGAATGGCACTGACATTCACAGAACTTAAACAGTTATTTGGTTACTTATTTTAGTGCTTCATTTTACTTACAATCAGTTACTGCCATGTGATGCAAAGAGTAACTAATGCTTTAGTTAAACACGTCAACAGTGTCTTTTAATAGCCATCTGTCACTGGAACGTAAGAAAAAATCTCGAAAAAAAATTAGTGTTTTGTGCGTGGTCTGCCGAAGGAAAATTAAAGAAAATTATTAGTAAAAAAGCTGCTACTTTAAGTATCAGAGAAACTATGTTAATGTTTTTTCCTCCCTGTCTGGCGTGGCCAATCAGAAAATTTGCTCAGTGAATAAAAGCCATTGCTTTTGCTTACCAAGCAGAACGATTTTAAGTTTGGTGAGTGATACTACGTTTGGATTTCTGACCCTATTTCCGTTACTACATTGCCTGCTGGACTGTTCACTACAGATTTGTAATTGACCTTAGTGTTGGCAAACTAATTTTTTTTGATACCCTAAACAGTCACTTATATTATTGCTAACTTAGTTTGTTTTTGCATAAGTAGGTTAATCAAAAATGCTGCGTAATTTGTTGCCTCATAGAATTAGAACACTTGACAAGGAAGTTCAGTTTATTTACACCCAAATAAAAAAATAAATGAATAAGAGATTATTTTTTTTAATCATTTCACCCCAAGCAAGGCAATGAAGCCACTAGGACGCAAGAGGTTACTGAGTGTTAGAGAATATGAGAAAAACTACGATTTAAGGAGAGAGGATAATAAAAGAACAAGAATTAAGAAGACAGAAGATAATGATTGACATTGCATTTAAACTTTTGAAGATCAAAGTTGACTGGGAAGTAAGAATCCGGAAGAGAGTTCCACAAGCGAGAAGTGCGATAGAAGAAACTGTTAGCATAGAAATTAGTTACATTTCAACAGTAAAATGACGAGACCTAGCCGCCAATCTAGTACTGCGCTTAAATTCATAAAGTCTAGGTACCATAAGAAAATTTCAGAACAATTGCCATAAAATTATTTATAGAAAAGACACGGGGAAGCCACGTTACGGCGGTGAGAAAGAGACTGAAGTCGAGCTGCCAGGTCAGGACCAATAACTTTGCAGATTCTTCTTTTTATTTTATCAAAATTATTATTCTATTTGGATTATTAATAGTCTAGCATAAGGAATCAAATAAATATTTTTCTCTTTATTGTATATATATATATATATATATATATATATATATATATATATATATATATGCGTGTGTGTATATATATAATATAAGTAAAAGATTTGTCACTTAGCTGATTGTTGCTACCTTTAGCATCCCGTTTCCAGAGTTTTGAAGACGAACCCGTCCGTCCACTCGTCAGTGGGTATCAGCAGTTGATTGCTTATGCTTCACGAGTTTTCTTTTTTATATGCACTTATATTATTTCAGTAGCTGCCGCTTTCCTTACGAGAAGTTGGCAATGTTTTTAACCTTCAGACCCGCAAATAAAATGGTGTGTTAAACGGAAGGTTATTGCTTTGACACCGCTATTATTGTATACATTTTTGACTCTCACGGGAATATTTATTGTTGTCAATGCTAAAGAACGAAGAAAATGTATAAATTCAGTTTCATCTTGTGTTTAGATTTTATTCCATTTCTAATTATCGTTTTTAAAGCAATAAACTTTGCTGAGGAGTAAATGAAGTTCAAAAAGCGGAGCTCATGGGACAAAAAAAAAAGTCCTTTTGAAACTAAAAATGTCTGAAAATGTCTCATTGTGGGCGCGTTAATCCATGTTTGCCAACATCTTTTTTTATTACAGTCCAAATATTTATTTCTCAATTACAATATATTTCATCTATATCCAGCAACCTAAAAAAAAAAAAGTAAAAAAAGAAACTTTCTCATTACTTGAGGGAGGTTGGTCCATTTTTATTTCGAAAGTTATAACAAAATAAACCAATGTTTCATATTTAAACCACCCATTCCAAGGAAAACTTCGTTTTCGGGGACATTTCTGATGACATTCTACAGAATCACAAAAAATAAAGACATAAGATGTTGATATTCCGCATATTTTTAATAAAAGATTAAGAATTGATTCGTTTTCTACGGCATATTTACCCATTTGCAGGTTATTTAAAGCCATAAAATATTAGATTGAAATAATTTTGTTTTAGAGATAATAAGGGTTTAGTGATACGATTCTTACTAATTAACCCATATCGGGGGTGGGTGGGGAGTGCATTCATACCATATTTCATGCTACTGGCGCATAATTGAATATAACAAACCCGATTGGAATTGGAATACGGCTCTCCGATTTCCAATTCCGAGCCGTTGTCCATTACACCAATCGCCCATGCAAGCTTACAGCACCTGGCATTCCCAAGCGGTCACCCTCCAGGTACTGGCCAGGTTGGACGTTGCTTAACTTCGGCGATCTTACAGGAATCGGTGTTTCAACGTGATGAAAAAAGTTAAGACGGAAATCCCCATAAATATTGGAAAGAGCCATAACATCAATTGAACTTGAGAAACCTATTTTCATGACTGAAAATTTGCCCCGCATCCTAGTGTTCGAAAATTTACCACGCCTCATACTTACCGAAAATATACCCAGCATCCCGTTAATCATAAATTTACCCCGCATTCTAGTGACAGAAAATTTACCTAACATCCTATTTATAGAAAATTTACCTCGCATCCTACTAACCAAAAATTCACCCCACATCCTAAGTGACCCAAAATTTACCCTGCATCCTACTGTCCGAAAATTTACCCTATGCCCTACCGTCCGAAAATTTATCCCGCATTCTACTGACCGAAAATTTACCCCATATCCTACTGTTCGAAAATTTACCTCACATCCTGCTGACCGAAAATTTACCCAGCATCCTATTGACTGAAAATTTATGCCGCATCCTAATGTTATAAAATTTACCACGCATCATACTTACTGAAAATGTACCCAGCATCCTAATGACCAAAAATTTACCTCGCATCCTACTGACCGAATGTTATTTCTCGTTTTACTTATATTTGCATTTAAGCTTTTTCATTTTGTCTTTACTTTCAATATTTTCCAGTCGAATTTGAAGAGCGTACTTGAGGCCAGAGCGTTTTCAATGCCGGGAAAGACGGCTATTTAAAGTAAAACAGGATTGAGTTCATTACAGTAGCGGATTGATCTGAGAGACGAGCTTGCTAACCACTGCACTATGGTAGGCTCAAAAATTATTCCTACTTAGGAATTCTGTAAAATATACTTAACGTAATATAAACATGTCCACTAAGCTTGTTTCAGCCAGAGTCATGAGTTCGATTCTCACTGAGTGTCCCATACTTTCGGCCTTGTGTCACATCTAAGTAAAGACTTAGAATATCATAGGACACTTTGAGGTAGTATAATGGTTAACAAGCTTGTCTCGCTAGATCAATTACGACTGAGTAGTGAGTCCGATTCTCACTAGGTGGCACATACTTTCGACCTTGTGTCACATCTAAGCAAAGGCTTAGAATATCATAGGACACTTCGTGGTAGGGTAATGGTTAGCAAACTTGTCCCGCTAGATCAATTACGACTGAATAGTGAGTTCGTTCCTGACTTAGTGATCCATATTATTGGAATTGTGACATATCTAAGATACCCTTACTCAATAGGAATATAAATATATCTATAATTAAATGCTGTGCAGAAGTTACGGACTTTTTATTGCGTGAATTAATGCATATTAATAGATTGTCAATTAGGTCCAACCGTTTTATTGTTGAATTTGCTAGATGTAACCATAAAATAGTTTTTTTTCTCGCACTTCTCACCTGTGGAACTCTTTTCCAGTTTCATATTTCCCAGCCAAGCTTTAAAAATTTAAATTCAGCGCCAATCTCCATCTTCTGTCTTTCTGAATGCTGTTCTTTTATTGTTTTTTTTTCCTCATTTACGTCTTCTTTCAATACCAGTAACCACTTGCGTCTTAGTGACATTATCGCCTTGCTTGGGGTGAAATGATGGAAGAAATCGAATATCCACTTTTAAAATGGCATATATAAATGGAAAGTTCTGAATTCCTAACCGCGAAGAATAACAGGATTATTTGTTGTTATTTGAAGCTAAACATTTTTGAGAGGTTGATAACCTGCTTAGAATAGCTTTACCTATTTTAATATACGTCTTCTTTTTCTATGTGCCGTGTCTGTTCAGTACGTTGGCGATCATGGCTCTCCACGTTTTCCAGTCCGTTGTATCTTTTAATAAATTTTGTCTTTTTGCTATCTCTCCTAACCTCTGTTCTGCCATCTATTTACACAAGCTCATTCGTCTTTTTCTATGTGCCGTGTCCCTTCAGAACGTTGGCGATCATGGCCCTCCACGTTTTCCAGTCCTTTGTAGCGCTTAATAAATTTTCTTTTTTCTATTTCCCATAAACTCTGTTCTGCCATCTATTTACACAAGCTGATTCGTCTTTTTCCATGTGCCGTGTCCCTTCAGGACGTGGGTGACCATGGCTCTTCACAATTTCTAGTCCTTTGTAGGTCTTTTTGCTATCTCTCCTAAACTCTGTTATGCTATCTATTTACACAAGCTCATTCGTCTTCTTCTATGTTCCGTGTCCATTCAGGACGTAAGCGGTCATGGCTCTCCTCCATTTCCAATTCTTTGTAACTCTTAATAAGATTTGGCTTTTTGTTATCTCTCCTGAACCCCATCTGCTACCCATTTACTCAAGCTCACTGGGAAGGTTATGCATTGTTTTCCTCTGTCCCTCTTGCCCTTAATCCTGTGAGTATCAAATTTTCAAAGCTCTCTTTCCTTATTATATGCTATGGCAATTTCTTTCTGATGTTTATTATGAGCGACCTCTTTGTTTCTATTTCCTCTAAAATTTCGTCGTTTCTCACATGTTCGGTCCATGGTATCCTCAGTATCCTTCTGTAGAACCACATTTCTGTTGCTTCAAGTCTCTTCTTCATCTGTGAAGAGATTGCCAAGCCTTCATTACAAGGTAGGAGAAATGATATTACGTAACAGTTCAGTATACATTCCTTTGTTTTTAACGAATTTTTCCTGTTCAGTAATACTTTACCTAGTTTCTGAAAGGCATCTTTCGCTATTCCAAATGTGCCATCGGATTTCGATGTCGCCCTTTTCGTCCTCTGGTAAAACACTTACTACATATTTAACTTGTTGCACTTGTTTGATTTTGGTATCTCCACTTTGTAATTTGTACGTTGGGCTGCTCCTTTTGCTAACAACCAAGTACAATTATTAACAGGCTGGATGATATTGTCTGAATAAATTGGGCGAAATGATTAAACGAAATGTCGTTGGATGAAATCAAGTAGGAATTATCTCCCTTGAAAATGGCATCTCTCTAAATGGGAAGGTGTGCGTTGGCTGTCAATTCTGAATTATTAACCGCGAAGAATATTTGCGAGAGTATTTGCCGTTATTTGAAACTGAACATTTTTGAGAGGTTGATAACCTGCTTAGAATAACTCTACCTGTTTTTTTTATGTAAGGGCTAAGTACAAATAAATAATAATAATAGGTGTGTTGATATTGTTAGAATGAATAAGCGAAACAAAGAGTTTATTCTTTAGTGCCAGGTAAGCGAGATTTTAATTTAACGTGCTTGGCACGATGTACTTCCAGGTAGTCTATTTGGCCACATAGCGAATATTTATTTGTCTATTTATTCCGTGATTTATTTAGGGAGGTGGGTACGGTACTTGCTGAATTATGTGATATTTCTGCGAACGAAGAGCGAAAATGTTGCCCCGTCAAACGTGGCGCCGAAATGACTGCCAAAAACAATTGTACTTGTTTCACTCAATCAAGCGATTATTCAAGCAAAAAATATCAACATATGGATTTCTTCCTATTCGTTCATTATTCTATTTATTTCATATATTTCATGTATTTCATACTTTGTCTTTATTTGATTAACTGATCTATCTATCTATCTATCTATCTATCTATCTATCTATCTATCTATCTATCTATCTATCTATGCCTGTTGATATCTATATAACTATCTATTTATATCGGCCTGTTCATATCTATCTATCTATCTATCTATCTATCTATCTATCTATCTATCTATCTATCTATCTATGTCGGCCAGTTCATATCTATCTATCTATCTATCTATCTATCTATCTATCTATCTATCTAGGCCTGTTGATATTTATATATCTATCTATTTATATCGGCCTGTTCATTATCTATCTATCTATCTATCTATCTATCTATCTATCTATCTATCTATCTATCTGTCTGTCTGTCTATATCGGCCAGTTCATATCTATCTATCTATCTATCTATCTATCTATCTATCTATCTATCTATCTATCTAGGCCTGTTAATATCTATATATCTATCTATTTATATCGGTCTATTCATTATCTATCTATCTAGCTATCTAGGCCTATTGATATTTATATATCTATCTAGTTATATCGGCCTGTTCATATCTATCTATCTATCTATCTATCTATTTATATCGGCCTGTTCATATCTATCTATCTATCTATCTATCTATCTCGGCTAGTTCATATCTATCTATCAGACTGTTTATATCTATATCTCCATCTATATATGGGTCAAAAGGGTGTCCAGAGTTCTTAAAGACAGGGAGGACAGAGGAAGACTTCCAACGGACTGGAAAGCAAGAATCAGCGAGGCAATAGTTGTATAGATTAGATAGAACTGGAGCCGCCATCTTAGAGGCACATTTCTTTAGGACTACGCCTGGTAAGCCGTCACCAATCGATGCTTTCTGAGATTCTAATTTAGAGATGATATCCAATACCATCGACGGGGTTATGCACATCTCTCTCAGTAGAGCATCAGTTCCAGGGGAAAGTTCGCTGTGGGTACTCCGGATAAATCGAGCGTTGAGTTAAATTTCCGAGCGAAGCATTCAGCCTTATCAGCTTTGAATGTTAGGACTTCAGATTGATTGAATAGGGATTCAGAATTTGCTGTTCAGCATATCCTTGAAGAGCCGTCAATAATCTTTAGAATGAAACTTGTGTGATGCAATACGTTCTTTCATTTGATCAGCAAACAGTAACTTTGCTTCATTGAGGACACGCTTGCACTCATTACGAGTAAAGATAAAGGGACGTCTGTTGCAATCAGGCATGTCGTTCTGGTACAGACGGGAGAAGTGCTTCCTATGGGCTATAGCGGCTGACCAAGCAGGTGAGAACCAAATAGACGAGCGCGATTTAACTTGGTATTTTCTTTCTGGGATGAAAAATCGCGCTGCCGGCTTTTACCCAGGAGGAGACCTCAGACGCACATTTTTGAACGGGATGATTAAAAACCACATTCCAAGGGACGTCGCGAAGGAAATCACGGAACGAGTCCCAGTCTGAGCTTTGATAACAGAAAGATATTTTGTTAGTACGACGTTCATGGCTGGAGGGGAGTGGAAGGAGATGTTAACAGTCACTAGC